TCTCTCTCTCTCTCTCTCTGTCTCTCTCCCTCTCTCTCTCTCTCTCTCTCTGTCTCTGTCTCTGTCTCTCTCTCTCACCATTTTGAAGCGCTTGAACAGTTGTGCCCCGTGAGGGATGTCGCCGATGGCGTAGCGGCGCTGCGCTTCTCGGCCGTACGCCTCGGCGCCAGTGGGCCTGAACATCCTGTCCGACCCCGTGCTGCCAGCGATGAGGAGGGTGGTCGGGCTCTTCCCTATGATGTCATCGTTTGGCTTCATGTCGGGTACTCCGATGGAAGGCCCCGCTGGGTCCGCAAGAGACTTCCAGCTGAAGGCGGTACATGACGTGCCCAGGTCGATCGCCACGACGAATTCTTTTTCCCCCCCAGGCGAGGTTAAGGGGGCGGCATGTTTTTGCGCGGAAAGCGCAGGCAGGGTAAGCTCGAGCGCGTCAGTACTGCTGCTAGGTGCTGCCGCTGCCGCTGCTGCTGCTGCTGCGTGAAAAGAGACGTCCTATGTATTGCATCATCAGCAGAACACGGCTGCGTGCTGCGTGTCTTCCGCTGGGGGACTTGTTCACGTCGCAAAGAACTCATGCAATACGTATCCCCGCGCAAGCACGTTGGCGCTCACCTTTCATGTTGGAATTCTGTGCCGGAAGAACGGCGGCTTCGCGCTAGCTGAGCAAGCACCAAATGGTGCACCTGGGGCGTGGAACCTGGCGGCCTTTGNCTGGGGGACTTGTTCACGTCGCAAAGAACTCATGCAATACGTATCCCCGCGCAAGCACGTTGGCGCTCACCTTTCATGTTGGAATTCTGTGCCGGAAGAACGGCGGCTTCGCGCTAGCTGAGCAAGCACCAAATGGTGCACCTGGGGCGTGGAACCTGGCGGCCTTTGTTGTCCGATGATAAGGGAAGAAGTTGTCGGTAGAATTCCTTCGTGGTGGCGGAGATGCGGGCAGCTTGCCGCGGCTCATGAGAGACCATGAAAAACAAATCAGAATCTTTAGGGAATTTTATCTGGACCCTCTTTTTTCTGCTGTGGTTCGAACCTAACAACCCCACTACTTCCTGCCACCTCATCGACCATCCGACATCCCACCGCCGGGAGAGATTGTTGGGTCGCGAAGTCTGAACAGCACCACCTAGTGGACGCTACAAAGATGATGGTGAGTCCGTGTGTTCGTCGCCCCGGTGGCGTCTGGTCTGTCACGCGACATGTATGTGTGTGTTGCATGATGAACCAACAATGTGGAAGGCGGGAAGAAAAAATCTGTGACTGATTTGATGTGCAGTGTGCAGCGGCGAGAAGTTGTCCGTCGTCCCACAGGGGGTGCTGTCTGCCTCCCCCTCTGCCTGTCTCCGCCTCTGTCTTGAGCCCTCAGTGTTTGGAAATGGTGGCTCTACCCGCATACCCAGGTGTTGCGTTCCTTACGAAGGGTACAGACGGTGGAGGCGTCATGCCGATTATATCTTCGCGGCAGCACGCTCCTTCAGCTGTCGCGCCTAGGCTTTTTCCTCCATAAGCGATGTTTTTTTTTTTCCGGCGTTCACGGAAATTTTCGGTGATTTTTGTTTTTTTTGTAAGGGTACTTCCTATGTGTAATATCTGATCAGATTATTTTTGATCAAGAACCATTTTTTCCAAGTTTTCTGATCAACTCGGGCGATCAGAAACCCAGATCTTTTTTTTTTCGATCAAAAAAGGCGCAAAAATAACACATAAGAAGCCGGATGTGACACCTAGATCATAATAAATCGAAAATAATCTGGCGAAAATGACACATAATAAGTAGCCTAAAGTGCCAAAAACACCTCTTTTGGCGACTTTCGGCGACTTCCACATGTTTTTCGGCACGTCATAGTTCAGTTTCGGCGATTGTTGGCTATTTTTCGGGGACGGACATAGCATGAGCGGGTCGCGACGCGGTTGGACTGCTGCGGGGTTTACCTGTCACCTGTCCGCGAAAAGCGAAATGATGTGTCCTTCGTCCTTGTCTTATATTTCTACAAACTACATCTTGTGTTGTGTGTGTTTTCGTCCTTTTTATCTACTTCCTCCGATTCNGATAGGATATCGCATTGGAGAGAGAGAAAAAAAAAAACGCTCGATGGGGGGGGGATGGTGCGGTGAAATCCCCTGATCGGGAAAATGGCGGAAATCTGCCGTGCCGCAGTACCCCGTCTTCGCTGTTGGCGAGAAGGAGGCGAATCACCTCTTATNGGTTTGGAAAATTCATAATATAAGGGCGGTTTGAGGGTTATTGGCAGAAATGTGCCATTTGGGCAAGGTGGACCTCGGATATCTTTGGCATACGATAGGATATCGCATTGGAGAGAGAGAAAAAAAAAACGCTCGATGGGGGGGGG